GTTCCTGTTGGCTCGGTTCAGTCACAATCTGTTCGTCTCGCTCCGCCGACCTCAGAGCAGAAAACACCTCGACAGCTCAGCTGAAAATGAAACTGTAGTTCGTTCTCTCGTCCTGTCGAAGGAAACACAGCGACTTCTCCTGCCGCTTCATCACACACACACAAACGTCTGTTAAAGGAACAGTTTGACGTTTGTTCTGTTTTCTGTCATAAATCTGGAATAAAGGCGTGAATCTGACGTTCAGACACATTTATTATATTTATTACCACATACTGCTGGTATTGTTATCTTATGGGAGAGCCACAGCACAGTATTGTCAGGAAATAATAATCATATTATACTGACATAATGTCACAGGCCGGAGGGAGCGGTGGGCAGTTTGAGATCCCTGATCTAAAGCTTTCTGCTGAGATTGAAAATGAAAACTTGATCGATATGAACGAGAGCTTTTTATTTGTATTTATTCATGAATGTGTTCTATGAGCCCGTTCACAGCAATAATTTCCTTGTATATTTACAATAAACTACTGTAACTGTAATTCAAGTTACAGTATATACACAGTGGACGGCAAAGAGGGGGTTGTTCCAACACACAAATTATGTGATTTTTTAAATGGAGTCTGGTGATATTGGGGTTACTACTTCAACAGTTTGTTCTCTACAGCTAAAAGAGCTGAGAATATTGTTCAGGACTTGGTGGTGGATTGGTGCTGTGGACGAAAAAAAAGAAAAACAAACACATCAGTCGCATCAGTTAATGAACAAAAATGACCGTTTACATCCACAGATGGCAACCTGCTCACGCTCCTGCTTGATCAGTGTCCCTCCGCCTCATAATACCACGCTGTGGGCGATGGTGGACTTATTGTTCCCTCGAGGAATCAGAGTAACAGACCACATCCTCTGCAGTAAACAGCCGTTCAATCCTCTGTTACTGAAATGGACAAAAGAGCTGGAGCAGCTCAGAGGCCATTATCCTGATTTACTGTGCGGTCATTAGCTGTTAAACAGCAGCTCAGAGTCGCCCTGTGCTGCGTCGGTGCTCCTGTCCAAACACTAACAGCAGCACGTTTGTTTTTATTCAGCTGATCAGATTCAGAGAACCATATCGACAACATCGACTAATAAACGCTGGAATTTATGGAGAAAATGTCGAAGAAATAACAGTTGAAACACTGAAAGAAGTTCAAGTGGAGGGTGAAGTGGCAGCCAACTACTGACAGAAGTCCCAGAAGAAGTTTCAGAGAGCGGAGAGCTAACAATTATATGAAATATAATTTGACAGTATTCATATATATTCATATAATGTTAAAATGGTGTCCAATCAGAATTCGTTATGGCAACTTTAGGGAGTTTAATGACCCCCAAAGACCAGTGAGCTCGTTAGCATTCAGAATGTCTGATAATCAAGAGCCTTGTTAAGACCCTGAGCTCGTTAAGACTCTGAACCTGCTGAGACTCTCAATGTCTTTAACTCATATTAGCAGCTTTTGCTTTATAACGTATATCATTTAGAAATGTGTGTTTAGATCCATTATAATCCCATCAGATCTACTGAGCTGACGGCGGAGAGAGACCGAGTCTGAGAACACTTTAAATCAAATCTGAAACGTGTGATGATGTGTGATATTCTGTCGTCTGTAATCCAGGAGACCCAGCACAACCCGAGGCCCCTCTGAGCCCTCGAGGGCCCCCGACGATCAATGGCAGCCTGCTGGAGACCAGAATCCAACACCTGAGAGAGTCAGTCTGAGACGGGCTTTTATTTTGTAGTTTAAGTATTTGGACACTATGATGTCTCTTTCCTTCATTCTGTGTTTTACTTTCAGTGTTTTATAATTTATTTTATTGTCCCTGTGGGGAGAGTTGTTTCTAAACTGTTTGATTTTAGAAAGTAGAAAAAAAATGCAGGAAAATGGAACCTGTTCCGAAAACTGTAATTACAGACAAAGGTTTCAGAGTCGTTTGTGAATGCAGCGGACACGTCATGAGGTCGTATTAATTTAGACGTGGTGTGTAAAGGTCTTTAGCAGTGAGTTAAGTGGAGACGTTTAATGGACAGTGTGAGTTTTATTTGCATCAAACAGGATAAAACCGAAGAACTCATGCTCTTATATGTCTGAAATATGAACAGATATTTCTCTTATTTTAACCACAGTCGTCGGATCTTCCTTTTCCCATCCTAAAATGGACTTTAAGGTTGTCTTGAGTTTTACTCAACAGTCCCAACGAGTTTCATCTCATGGTTTGCACCTTGGCCTCTGAGTGAGACTCTAACTCCACTTTCTTCTCCTGTAGACAAAGTTTTCTCTTCCCATCTGAGGAATCAGCTCAGGCTGAGGCTCTGTGAGAGTTTAATTTAAAAATAATCCAATTATTCCAGACAAACATTCTCGCCCGGAGCCGCGGCGCGGATCAGAGCGTGATATGAAACAGATTCAGTTTGTTTGTGCAGATTAAAATGAACGTAAAACCAGAGAAAACAAACCCACACAGAGCAGAAACAGTAATAAGAAACAAAGATCTTTTAATAAGATCTTCAGTCTGCAGAGAGATTTAACATGGAGACAAACATTACAGTAGGCAGTCGGATGGAGGACAAAAACTCAGCTGCTCTAACCGATTTATCTAATGAGGGCACACACAGGTTCTTCAGCAGATGGATTCACAAATCATCCTGTTCTTCCTCCAACCAACAGTGGATGTGGTATTAGTGCTGTATATATATACTCCTTTTAACATTTACAGAG